GGTCCCCGCTCGCCGTTGTCATTTCCCGGGTGGAGGGTGGCTCGGCGGCTTCCTCGGCAGGCGACACCGCCGCCGCCGCCCGCTGGGCGACATCCTCGTCGGTGGCCCGGTCGGCCGCGAGGATGAGCTCGTCCACCTCGGCCGCGCTGAGCGGACGGACGCCGTCCTGGCCGTTGACCTCGTGGACCACTAGGGGGCGCATGGGAGGAACCTCCGGTCAAACGACTTGGCCAACTTGCAAGACTTCCCGAACACTCGCCAAAGATTCCACTTGACTTTGATTTGAACGACGGGCGCCTCGAGATGCGAGTTGAAACGTGTTCCCCGCTCGAGCCGACGTCGTCGTTTCACCGATGAACGCCGGGCGGCGCAACCGCAAATGGCGGCGGCCGCGCCGCTGCGGGAGTGGTCCCGCAGCGGCGCCGATCGCGGCCTATTAAAGTGTCCGTTTTAACGGGGCGCAGATGTGCTTCCCCGGGTGGCGGAAGCACATCTGCGCCGCCGAGCGGGCACTCGGAGATCGGCCCGGTCACGCCGAGCGTTGGCTTCTTCATGAAGGCCGCGCGTAAGACTTGGACCGACTTTCCGCTGGCGTGTTGTGAGCCAGCCAGGCGCGTCTCCAAAAGCCCGCCCGGCTTCCTCGGCAAATTGGCCCACACGTGCGGCGTGTTGGCCTTGCCTTCGCAGGCGCAGGCGCGCTCTTTCATGAAAACGGAGGCCCGGGCCTTGGACCCGGCACTCGCTCCCACCTGGGCGAGAGGGCCACGCGATCTCCACGACGCGCACGCAACATCACCTTTCTCCTCGTCCTCGTAAACTTTGACGCCTCCGCGGGAGCAGTCGACGGGAAGTTTGGTGTGCGAGGACAGGACGCGCGTCTGCCCCGTGGTCTTGTCCCGCTCCACTTTGATCTCCACCGAGTACACGGCTGGGACGGGCGACGACAAAGAAGCGTTGAGGCCCCGCCCGCAGATCCCCGGGTCACGCCGTCTCGCTCACCTCGCTTCATCTCGTCCGCCCCGCCCGGCTGCTGAACTCTGACCTTTGCGAGGAAAACGCAAAGCGAGACGTCTCGGGGTCACCGCAGGTCAGGTGGCGGCCGCGCGTCGTTCCCTCGCCGTCGTCTCGGGGGGCTCCTCCGCCGTACCTTTTTGACTCAACACAAAAAGGAAGCGCCCGTCCGTCAACGTGACGCCTTGTTAAGGATCCGCTCGTATTCGCCTGCACGGCGTTCTGCTGCGGCGCCGGCGTGCGCGTGCGCGTGTGTGTACTCGTGTCCTGGTGCTGCGACGTGTCTTGCTTCCTTCCAACACACACCAAAAGCAAAGCCCGCAACATTTTGCTTGTGACCTCAAGGTAGGGCCACTTTCATACCCCGACGTTGCCAGTTGGCAGGGACGCGCAAAGCTCAGAGGCGGGGCCGGGGTGGCGTCGCGCCCCACCCCGAGAAATCAGCTTGGAAGCACACACGCCCCCCAATCGATCGGCGCGACGACGACAAGCCGCGGCAACGGCGCATCTCGCGGCACTTTGAACTCGGCGCCGCCCACTGACTGCTATGCGCCTCCTGTGCTGCAGTCGGCGCCAAATATCCCCCAAACGTTCTTCGCCTCATTCGAGGAGCGCGAGTTGGGCTTGAATTGGTTGTTTTCTTTGCTTTGAACTCACCTGACGGAAACAACCTGCAAACTAAGAAAAGGAAGAAGCCTTTGCTGACGGCCAAATCGTCATTGGAGAGTTTCACGGCGCTTTGCGAGTGAGTCGCTGTTCAAAATCCCTTTTCGAGTTGCGTATGGTCTGATCGGCCCCACGTGCGGAGGTTCCAATCCGGGCCCCGCCTCCCCGTGTGGAGTTTGCACCTTGTCCCCGTGCCCGCGTGGCTTTTCTCCGGGTACTGGACTCGGGTTTCCTTCCCACGTTCCAAAAACATGCATGGCGGCGAAATTGTCCCTCCGTGTCATCGTGAGCGCCAACGGCTGCTCGTTTTTCGGCCGCGCCCCCCGATTGGCTGCCAACCGCTCGAGGGTGCGGCACGCCGACTGCCCGAAGACGGCTGGGAGGGACCCTTGTGAGGATGAAGCGGGTTAGAAAATGGACACACACACACAATGATTAAAAGCTTCGTCAGCACCCAGTTGCAAAATTCCATTTGCACCCCGACTGGAGTTTCAACACGCAACGCTCATTTTTGCACAAGGGGGGCAAACGTGGGAGGCGCGAATGCAGGGTGGTCTGTGACGCACGCCCCCACAAGTTCAGAGCGGGACGCAGGAGGCGCGCTGCTGATGCTGATTACGTTCCGTTGCAACTTGACAGCATTCCGAAAACGGGCTCCTCTTGTTCGAACGATGAGTGCAACTTGAGAGTTATCGATCGAGGAGTCCGAACGGATCAATGAAACCGCTTCCGCCGAGGACGCGCACCCCTGCGGAGAAACGCGCGCGCGGCCGCCACGCTCGACACTTGGCAGCCAGCCAATCGAGTGACAAATCTGATCGCGGAAAAGCAAATCCGATGGAAACGGCGCATCACGTGACGTCCAAAACGCGCAAAGCTCGAAAATGGCAACTTACCTCGTGGGCGTAACCGAGGCGGCCCGCAGATGACTTGCACGCCGAAGCTGAGCCCGCTCACCGACGAAGCCTTTTCACAGTAAGAGTCGCTTCCGGAATCCGCCGCACGCTTTCAAAATAACGCATGTGACGTCATGTCGGGGTGTGGCCTCCGCGATCGGCATCGGGAACGCAACGACTCAATGGCAACGATTTCATTCAACCGTTGTGTTTGAGAAATAACGGTGTCATTTCTTAGGAGGGGGGGGGGGGGGGGGGGAACCCGAGAGCGATGCAATGCATCTTGGGTAAATGTTGCATTCACCTTTCATCAACAAATACACCGCAAACGGAACTTTATTTCTTTTAGAAGGCAAAGTTGAAATTAGTGTTGCAAAACGAAAGCCGTCTCTGTGCGTGCATAAAAATACATCCTGACTTCACAAAGAAAAAAAAAAAAAATGGGAAGACATTTTTAGCCAGTCCAACAACTTTCATTGGAATCCCAAAAGGACCACGAGTCGATTCAAACAACTGGATCCCAGTACAACTTTGAGTGCTGTATGGATCTACGTCCAGTTGTCCACATCGAGTACACACGTATGCCGTGTGCGTGTGTGTGTGCGTGTGCGCTGCAGCAGTGGTGCCAAGTATTTCAGTGACTCGTGGCAAATGTGAAGGCATTTGGACCAAAGTGTTTGAAATGCAGAACGGAGAGACGGCAAAGGAGGAAAATAAATAAATAAATACATTGAAAGGACGGTCGGCGCTCCGGCTTTTCTTTTCTTTGTCGCCCGGCTTGACTGTCGTCTTGGTGCGAAACGGCGCAATGAGAAGGGACGGCGGCCGCGGGAGCGCCCGGGAGGCGCGCGCCGAGCGGAGCGTCGGCACGTCTTTGAATCATCCCAGCGAGAAGGAGTTTCAAGGTTCCCCGCGCCGGACGGGAGCTTCACGCTAACATCCGGATGATTCGGCCCCCTCACCGGCGCTCGAAGCTTTTGGGGTGCGGGTGACACGAACAAATGCCCTTTCCCGTCCGCGGGCCCCGTTTTGAGCTCATCCCACAAAGCGATGCGACGGAAACCCGAGGAGACGGGAGGCTTCGTTCACGCGACGCCGCCACGAGCGAACGGGTCCCGACGCGGACCTCCGGCAGGCCCGGCCCGACTTAACGCCGCCGACTTGAGCGAAACCGGAAGCCGCTTCGTTGTCAGAAAACCCCACGGACGATTCTGGAGACCGCAAGCACGAAGCTCCCCGTCCGGGGACACCAAAGCGATGGCCCGAGCGCGCTCCGAACGGCCGATCCGAAGGCTCGCGCAAGATTGCAAAAGTGTGTCCTGAAGCGCGGCGAGCCGTGAGCCCGTCCCGTTGAACGGGGCAGGGCGGGGCCGACTCAAAACTCCACCTTGCAAGCGGGGAAGGTTTCTTCCTGCATGGCCACGGTGCTGTTGCTCCCCAACACCGTGACCGACAGTTGCTTCTGCCGCTCGTGGGTGTCTTGGTACCACTCGTGCATGGCCGCGGAATCGAACGTCGGGATGAGCGTCACCTGGGGGAGGGGGCAGAGCGATCAGAGGGCCGGACGTCGCGGGCGCGCGGCGGCGAGCGTCCACCGACCTGCGCCTCGGGCCAGCCACTCTTCCCGTCCAGCAGCGCGTCCAGGATCCTCCTCACGGCCGCCGTCTTCGCGCGGTCCTCGCCGCTCACCACGTAGTAGGAAGAGCGAAGGCGGCGGAAAAAGTCCGCGTCGACGGTGGACGAGGCGGCCCCGGACGGCAGGTAGGCCAGGTCCACGTGGACCGCCGGAGCCGAGCGAGTTGCGGGCGCTGAGCAAAGACACCGACGGTTTGCGACGCGTCTCGGTGACTTGGACAACATGTTGGGCGAGGACGAGCGCTTTGACGCTTCCCTACCTGACGTCGAGGGTTTGGCACCTGCGCTTCGGGATCCGCCCGGCGACACCCGGTTGGACCCTTTTGCGTCGAGGGCGCCGGCCCATTTCGGTCCGGCGGCGCCGCCGACCTTGGACTTGACCGTGTGGACATTGGCGCTCGCGGAAGGGCCCCTCGGCAAGGTTGCGGCGGCCGCTTTTTTGGTCTTGCTGACAAAAGTCTTCGGGCTCTTGCCCGAGACGTCGACGTCCGCCACGCAAGCTTCCGCTTGGGGAGGTAACGGGGGCGAGTCCTTGACGGGGGCCGCCGGCGGGTCGGGAATGACGGAGCGGGTCGCGCCGGGATCGGGGGGACCGCCGGAGTCGTCGCCTCTCGGATCCGGGGCCGAGGAAGGAAACTCCTCTGCGGCGGGCGGGACGTCCGAGAGGCGGGAGTCGCTGACCGACGTGGGCGGGGTTTCCCGGCAGGACGGATCGGAAAGGACAAACGGCCGCAGGTCCTCGCGCGGTTCCGTCTTTTGGTGCCGGAACTCGCAGGGCCAAACCAAGCACAGATCCACGCCGTGAGGGACTCCGACATCGACGTCGTGAGGACGGTCGGACGCGCCTTCCTCCGATCCCGCCGCAAGGTGACCGTTGAAATCCTGCCGCGAGCGGGCCAAATGTCCGTTGGAGCGCATTTCCGCGGGCGGGTCCGTCGGCGGCGGTGGCGGGATTTGCTCCGAGGACGCCGAAAGGGCATCCTCGTCTTCGGCGGAGCGAAGGAGCGGACGGGCCTCGGAGTACGGAACCTTTGTGATCATATGAGGGCGGCGCTCGTCCCGAGAAGCGAAGGAACCTTCGGCGGCGGGAGTCGTGGACGGGGCTTCCCGGTCGCAGCCGTTTGAGTCCGGACGGGGAGGCCGTTGGGCTCGCCGCTCTTGTGAGGACGCGCCCCCCCGAGGCCCGCGGGACGAGTCCGGAGGAGCGAGGGCGCGCCGGCCGGCTTCGCTGGCGTCGGGGTTTTGCCGGGCGCCGTCGCAATGGGGAAGCTCCCGCGTCTTTCGGAGGCACTCGCCGTCGGCGTCCCGCTCGGGGGGGTCGGCTTTCGCGGCTCCGGCCGACGCGCCCGCCTTGAGGCTCCGGACTGAAGATTTTTTCACTTGGCAACTCGAAGCCGCGCCCGCTTTCTTCGCATCTTTGGCGAGGGGCGCCGCCGCCCTCTTGATGTCTTTTTGAGCTTGGGCTTTGTTTTCTCTCTTTGCTTTGGTCGCGTCTCTCCTCAGACCTTCGCCTTCTTCCTTCTTCGCGACGGCCCCGATGAGACTTTCATCTTTCCTTTTGGCTTCCTTCTTGGTCTGGAGTTTCTCGGCGGGCTTGCCCGGCTTGGACTTGGCCTCGTGCTCTTTTTCTTTGGACGAAGCCTCCGCCGCCGCCGCCTCGGGCTTCAGTTGGGCCTCCCGTTTCTTGACGGGAAGTCGCCCGCCGTTGTCCTTGCGGAAGGCGGCGGCGACCCGCGGCTCTCGGGACTTCGGGCTTTCGCGGCTCTCGGCTCTCTTCTCCGCTCGGGGTCTTTCCAGGTCCTGGGAACGGACCACGGGAACGCCGAGGAAGTCCAATCGTTGGAGTCTTTGGAGCCCGTCCAGGATTTTGGCCTGCGGCGCGCATCCCGGGAAAAGGACTCGGACGATCTTCTCCCGGTCGCTGGAAGGGTGCCAGACCAGCAGAGCGCAGATGGACGTGAGGCACGCCAACGGAAGCGCCGAGCCCTCGGGGGGGGCGCCGCCGCTTGGGGGCGCCGTCCGCAACAACTCTTCCAAGTCTCGGCTGCCGCTCACCGGGTTCAGGGGGTACAACTCCAGACGGCCGACTCCCATCTTGTGGAACAGGACCAGCGGCTCGACGGAGGGCCCGTCGCAGCGAGACAGAGGCCGCGCTTTGAGAGAGAGTTTTTCCAAGCGCTCCAAGATCAGCGCGCCCTGGTCGGCGCTGCGGAGCTCGGCGGGGTCCGCCCGCGCGGCCTTCAGCCGTTCCGGAGCGTTGAGGAAAAACACGCCGATCTCCGGGGAGATGAGCTTTTTCACCCAGTCCCCCGCGGCCCGCCCCCCGGCCAAGTCCCGGTCCCGCTCGGCTACTTTTCTCAGCAGCAGGCTGTTGAGCCCGGGGAGATTGTCCACGCCGACGTGCGTCGCGAGGACGCAGTCGATTCTGTCCAGATGTCGGACCAGTTTCCAGAAGCAGGCGCGGGGGTCGGAGCCTCCGTCGACCAGCACGTTGAAGCCGTTGACGGCAAAGAAGGCGGAGTCCCCCCTGCCGCCGGGGAAGATGTAGCAGCAGGGCCGGGACAGTTTCAGGAAGCCGGCGCTATTCGGGGGCTCCAGGAGCTCAAAGGGGCACTCCGGCTCCAAAGACTCGGAAAGGTACTCCGTGAACTCTTGCAGGCCCTCCATCTGGGGGAGGAGCGGGGGAGGGTTGACCCGGACGCTTAGGAAGTCTTGCAGGCGGTGCTCCTTCAACGGGGGGTCTCGCCAAAGGCCCGCCTTCGGACAGCTGAGGGTCAGGCTCGCCCTCGCCGTCGGATCCGCCGAGCTCCACGAGAGGCCGACCTGGAAACGACGTGACCGAAAGAAGAGTTTGTCCGACACGCGACGCGACGGGCGATTCGCTTTCTTCCCCGTCGCGATCCGGCGGACCGGTCGAGAAAAGAATGCGAGACGAAACGAAGCGCGGCTCACGCGGCAGCTGACCCGAGCAGCTGACGGGAAGCCACAAATGTGCGCGAAGGCCTCACGGGGCCGCAACGCTACGCGGGGCTAGCTGACTAACCTCTTCGTCGGAACAGATCTGGATCAAGTCGCCGAGGGAGAAGAGGCCTTTCTGCAGCACCACGTCGCCGCTGCCCTCCACGCACTGCCCGGCCAGGACCAACAATTTGTGTCGAGATGGCTCGCACAGCAGCCGCCGCACCTACGCACGCACGCGAACGGGAAACGCAAAGCCGCTCGTACGTGTCGGGCGCGAGAGCGAGCTTTTTTGGTTTCCGGGCGCTCTCACCTCTGAGCACACCAGATCGTGAGCTGGATTCAACACCACTTGCGCATCCAGAATGTCTCCGCGGTGCTGCAACGTTCGCTGACCTATGAACATCCAAAAAAAATAACACGTTGAGGCCCATAAGCTGACCGCTAACACGCTATAACAATAACCGTGAAGAGGCCCCGTCTTGGTTGAGGTCAACATGAAAACCGTCAAAGTACAAATGCATCATTGTGACTTTTTTTTTCCCCGGCATATGACTTCAAGTGGGTCTGCTCAGTAGAAACAAGTTATACACGTGACAAAAACATTGTAGGCGGAGCCTCACACAACAGTCACCATCCTGCTCCGATCACGTTTGAGCTTCTCACCGGGAATCACCTCCGACAGGAAGGCCGAGTGTCGGGACACGAACAGCTTGAGCTGCTGGTCCAGAACGTCCAACGGAATTGGGACACGCCAGCAGCGCACACCTGGAGCATGCGTATGTGCACGCACGCATGCGCACACACACACACACACACACACACACACACACACACACACACACACACACACACA